AGCTTTTCCGGAGGGGTTGGGAAACCTCACTTCCCTTGAGACATTGTATCTTTCAGGAATCGACGAAGTGCAAGCTTTTTCGGAGGGGTTGGGAAACCTCACTTCCCTTGAGACATTGTATCTTTCAGGATTCGACGGAGTGCAAGCTTTTCCGGAGGGGTTGGGAAACCTCACTTCCCTTGGGACATTGCATCTTTCAGGATTTCGTAGAGTGCAAGTTTTTCCGGAGGGATTGGGAAACCTCACCTCCCTTGGAACATTGTATCTTTCAAGATTCGACAGAGTGCAAGTTTTTTCGGAGGGGTTGGGAAACCTCACTTCCCTTCGGACATTGCATCTTTTAGGATTTGACGGAGTGCAAGCTTTTCCGGAGGTGTTGGAAAACCTCACTTCCCTTAAGCAATTGACGCTTTCAAATTCCCTTAAGACATTGAATCTTTCAGGATTCAACTGAGTGCAAGCTTTTCCAGAGGGGTTGGGAAACCTCACTTCTCTTAAGCAATTGATGCTGAAGACCAAGTCAAATAAGACTGTTAGTGGAGTCCTAATAAAGTGGAGTTGCTGGAGCATACCAGATTTTTATCTGATATGAAGCCATGTTTTCAGTAGAGAGTTACAACAAACTCTGTTAATTTTTCTGTCTATAAATAAGGAGAATGACCAGTTGCACTGTGTGTCAAATTCTCATCTTTTCATCATATTCTCTTGTTATAGTTGTTTTGCTTTCAATATTCAGCAAGAAAAGTCATTTTAGTTTCCAATCACTGTACTTCTCATTTTTCAATTTGCTGTCATTTAGTTCCTCTCTTGCTATTTGCATAAACACCCTTTTACACTCGATCTACTTTTAATTTATCATTTTGGTATCAGAGCTGTGGTTGTAGAAGGCTTTGTTTGTGCTGATCATTATGGCAGGAAAAGGTGGTGGTACAAAATTTGAGATTCCACGTTTGGATGGATCAAATTTTGCACTATGGAAATTGAAGATGCATGCAGTGCTCGTGAAGGATGGTTGTGCAGTTGTTCTCTTGCCAAGAGAAGAGAAACCCAAAGGAATGACGAATAAGCAATTCTCTGAGAAGGACGAGATGGCCTTGGCAAATTTGCAGTTGGCGCTGGACAACAATGTTCTGTTCAATGTAGAGATAGAGTCAACTGTAAAAGGGCTTTGGGAAAAGCTTAATAATATTTATGAAGGCAAGTCGTTGGCAAACAAGATTTTTCTAAGGCGGCAGCTTTACAACTTGAAGATGAAAGATGGAGGGTCAGTACAAGAGCACCTCAATGAATTCAATTCCCTTACTAGTAAGCTTCTGTCTCTTGATGTTAAAATTGATGATGAAGAGAAAGGAAGTATCTTACTATGTTCTATGCCTGACTCTTGGGATAACCTGATTATGAGTTTGAGCCATGTGAAGGTTCTTGATATGGACTCTGTTGTAGCATCACTATTAACTGAGGAGATGAGATGAAAATCTAGCCAATCTAGTCCTGGAGATGCTATGTATGCACGTGGTAGAGCTGTTGAAAGAAGTTCCGGAGATCGGTCTAGATCCAAGTCTAAAGGGAAGAAGAAAATGAGATGCTGGAACTGTGGAAAGTCAGGGCATGCGAGGAAGGACTGTAGAGCAAAGAGAGGTGAGGATTCCAGTACTGACAATTTTCAAGGAAATCTTGTACAGAGTCTTGATTTTGCAGAAGACGAGGATGCCTTGACTGCTTCAAAACGTGTGGAACTATGCAATCA